TAACAGTCGATTGAGAAGATCAAAAGAGAAAGGGGCAGTGCGCGATGTATCTGACGGACGTATATAGAGATATAGAGAACGTTCGAAGAATGTTACTGTATACATACATTTTATGTTTAAAAAAGTACCGTCAATCTGATAGCCAGAGATATTATTGTGGAAGATCGCAGTATGTATCATCATAAACGGCCCAAGATAAAAGGACATGTCATTCAACACCATGTTATATCCCTTCTATAGACACGGGGCATACAGGTAGGGCAAACACTTTCTTCTATAGGTATCTGCCGGTTTCACGCTACATACATGTATTCAGATAATTAAGACAACTAGAGACGCAAGTTTTCCTTCATCACACATATAATTATATAGATACCCAGTGATTAGTGATAGCGTTAGAGCAACTTATTAAATTTACAATAGACACTATCAACTGCAGTAGCACTGCCACACCCAGCATCGTATTTATTACTCTCTTACATAAGGTGAAATGTCACAGGGTTGTCATGGTAATGATAATTTGACATACTATTTATTGTCTTACTCTTTAATCATCGATTAGAATTTAAATCAGTTTTGAGGTCAGCATGTTAGGAGAAAAGAAACTGTAAAACGAAAAGTATTGTGATCGAATGTATTGGCCTTTGTAAAAGCAAGTTTCAAGCCACCTACATAAAAACCTGTTTTAATGATAAATATCTGCTAATCCGTGGCACGATTCCGACCATATCATGGGCATGTGTTTGTGAATCATAATCAAATAGTGATGTTACAAAGCGTCCATGCCGCGTCAACAACACATGCAAACGCACGAGAATTGCAATACGGGCCCCTACACCAATGATTCTCCGTGACCTGGAGACACATGTGATTGAGCGTATGTTGGGACGTAGTCTGTCATACAGACCCTGAAGCAAATATATCCAAGTCCACGCAAGTCTAGAAAATGTGCCAAGTCTAGATTTCCACAGAATGTCTCAGGGCTCCTTTTTATTATATTTTTCATTTTTACTATGAACATTTTTTCTGTAAAATATGTTCATTTCAGAGACTAGTTGTTCGTCTAGCAGGGACGGGTAGAAGACAAAAGATCAAATGGATACTCGTGCTGTTATACTTTTGAATCATATGTAAGGATATTGATATTATTTCCCCTTCCGCCCAGCCCTTACTGTAATGCTTACACCTTACAAGAAGCATGGCTAGATATTCCCAGGTTCAGCGTCCGTTATAAACTGCAGGAAAACTCACTGCAGGGTTCGGGCTACAGAGTAAACATACCAAATACCCACGACTGGTGGGACAAACAGTAACATTTACATCTTCCAACGCTAAATCGCAAGTGGTGAGGCAATACGCTAATTAATGAGGCGAATGGTCCTGTACCATGTTTGTGAAAAATCTATGATGCCTTTCAGGAAGTTGTTTTGTTTTGGTTTTTTGGGTTTTTTTATAATCTAATCAAGTCTAGCTATGTATGGCGTTAAGTCACTGCTTGAAGAAAGGCTCCTTTACAATTTTATTTGGTAAATATCCGTAGTTCACTGACTCAATCATATTGTCATATTGGAAAACACATGGCAACCTATACTTCATTGTGACTATGATTGAGGCATCATTGTAAAACACTAGGGTTATTTCCTTTGCGTTAACTGACAGGTTTCGGTGACCGTGTCAAATATTTGGAACTCCGGCCAAAGGTGATGTCATGCTGTCTGGAAATATGGCCTTTATGTAATGCTTTGGTAGCACTTAATGATAAGTGATTGTTAAATGTACATATGATGTTTTTAAAGGATAATCTCAGCTGACTCAGATGCTTTGCACATGTTTTTCCCCACTTGTTCCATACCCGTTAAAATAATTTTCTATATATGTCTGTAAGAAAATACTGTAAAGGAATACTGTAGCCCCAATATATAGATGTTGTTAGTCTGTGAATCTTTCAAATTACTTGGTCTTTTTTTTTCAGTGAAATCAAGTTTATCAAAGTAAAAATATTTTAAAGACACTAAGCGTCAGTCTTGATGTGCCTATGTCGGGAATTAAACACCTGCTTTTGACCTGACCACTAGCGTGCCCCATCATTCCTTGAGACTGTTAAAGAATATACATTGGTACATGTATTATACATTCAAGGTTGAACCCAGTTTTGTCACCATATATCCTTCAGTTTTTATGTTAGTGACATAATCTGCACACTGATAATGTAAACTGGTATATGAATAATTATTGTTTGCAATATTTACCCAATTTAGTTTTCTATTTATTTAGCAATTTTGAGTTCCTATTTCCTGGAAATTCTGTACGAAGGTACATTTAACAGTTCCACCCAATAACAGTAAAACATACAGATAATACGTTTCGGTACTTTGATAGAATAAGAAGTACGCATTATATTCCATGATATTGGGATGCCAAAATGATTAACATAATTGTATAACGTACAACAAATGAGACAGCAAAAAGCAAAAATGAAAACGCATGAGCAACATAAATGCTGTCAGGTAGTAAGCTTTTAATGATTAACGAAACTGCTTAGTTATCTAACTTTATGAACTAACTGCAATCACTAGAACTTTCTACAATCTACCAAAGAGATAAAAATTAAAATAGGTGTACATTTAAGAATTGAATGTCAGTTTGTGTGTTTGCACTGAAAAATGAACGATGTCAAAGCGGTGTTCAAACTGACATTCAATTCTTATAATTTCGCACTTTGAAGTTTACACATACGTTTTCCACCCACTTGTAGATGATCATTGTTTAGTGTGTTTTAATACCTGTAAAATGTTGTAATGCCATTCGGTTCAAGAACGTACGTATTGCAGCGATGTTTGTATACACAGCGATTTTTTTTACACAAGTATGAACGATTAGAGGGGTTCAAGAGTAATGAACCTTGAAATTTAGATCACATGACCGCTCTCTCAACCAACCAACGTTCGGGAATCTGTGTAAACTTGAAAGCACGAAAATATTATATTCTGTCGGGTAACTGAAATTTGAGATAACGTCCATATGGGATAATACCTGTATTCCGAATCAAAAAGAGGTCATACCAAGTATGTGCATGTGTACACATTTACAACAGTGATTTACACCGGGAATCATTAATACATTGTAATCATCTTTTTGAAAGTATAGATAATGAAATTTGTGAAGTTATGATCAGTCGGATAGCTCATACATGTGAGCACTAAAATTAGGGACCTAACATTAGGCATATATAAGAAGTGTACCTAAGGTCAGTTATTTAAACTTTAATGTAATTTCCATTACAAGTAGTTAATAAACGATATTACTTACTGATCAGAAAGACATATCAGTACTGACACCGACCCAACACCCGACCCTAGGCATACCCCATCCCACACCTTCTCCCTCTCACACACATGCACACACAATCCCTAACATACATATCGCTCTGGGCCTAGATTTCCGAAGCTCTCTTAGGGCTAAGACAGTCGTCAGTTAAGGTTAATGTATGGCACTTACGACTATCTTAGCGCTAAGAGAGCTTCGAAAATCTAGGCCCTGGCTCATAGACCCGATATTTGAACCTGTCAAACAGACACCATCAGGCCTACCATACAAACCGTGAACAAATCATCAAACCTGGACTCATATACACCAAAGCAGAACAAAAATCCCCAAAATAGGAAAATAAACTTCTCAAACTGCAACAATAACATGTAAAACCGAAACAAACGCCCTGTAATGGAGAACTAATCGTTTGAAATGGAAACAAAACTCGCGTATCAGCTACAAGAGCGCCCGTGAACGGTCGCCGAGCGTACAAAACGGCAGTCATAGCATCCAAAAACTGCAGTCATAGCATTCCGAAACAGCATAAACATTATCAAAGATGGCGGCGAGGGGAGACGAACGGGCTTTGGTCAATAATGTTTTTCGTTGAGTCTAATCTCGGAAATGTGATATCGGGATGTAGCGCAACAACCCCCTATTGTATGTTCATTCTTCTCAGTGTCAGGCTTGCAATTCTGCACAATGTGTATGTCAAGAAAGACACGCACGTTAATAGTGGTGCACAGTCATGGGTAGTCTGTCTCACAGTCCCTTAACCAAGTAATTTTCTCCCTGCAATGCTAAAACCTTAAATGAAGCAAGTCTAGATTTCCTCAGGTTCAGAATCTGTGGGGCTCCTGTTCAATTTACAAAATGTATATCGGTTAGTTTGTTACTATCGAAATTATATATATTTAGAGCCTAAGCATTAGTCTATGCCATGGATATCACTTCACCATGTGTTTCTAATTATCTTTGTACATTATGGCGTGGTCGGACGCGCTAACGAACCCTACGTGACAGTTATATTACCGAATCATTGAAATACATGTTAAAGCAGTGTCAATCTTGTAACACTCTATTTACCCATTACCAACCATTTACGCATGGACTAAATATATGACAAACCTAACCCTGGTCATACGAGATTTCAAAGGTATTGAAATGCATGTCCTACAATCACAGCATTTACATATGTTACACATGCTAGAAAACACACGAAAACAGTGGCCATATTTACACACCTGTGAAATACATGTAAATGCAGAGTTGAGTGTTCGTTTATTTTAACACCCCTTTGAATATGAGTAAATCTGACAGCCAGATGATACGTAGATTTCAAAAGTTGTTCAAATGGCCGTCAGATGAAACGTATATTTCTTAACGACGTAGTAAATTTGGGTAATGCAGTAATTTTGTGTGGTGCAGACCGCCGTCATATACACATTGAATATTGTCGAGTGCAACGTTATAGAACAAACTGACAAGCGAAATTACACACAATCACACACACGCACTCTCACACTCTCTCTCACACACACTCACACACACACACACGCACACGCACACACACACACACACACACACACACACACACACACACACACACACACACACACACACACACTGTCATAATATTGTTGCGGCCTGGGATTTACCCTCTATGTCAGTGAGAATAAAGGCTGCGGGTGTGAGGTCAACTCGTTTATTCTGAGGATTCAGTGGATATCAGTTGATATCAGTAGACACTCTGTAACAATAGTATTATCATAAGTTCAATTTCATTCATGGGTTAAGATACAAGCGTACATATTAAATCACACTATATTACATAACATCAATAAGCTTATGTTTACAGGTACATTACTATCTGTAATAATGCATACATCATATGCTCATACCATTACAAGTACACATACAAATATAGGTTTCTTACAAATGTGTTTTACCAAATTATGATATATCATCATGTAATGAAGTACATGATAACAGACAAGAATACAATATATTCAACAATAAGCAAATACATCACTTATGCATAAATAACGAAATAGATTATAACCTGCGTACCCTGTGGGTGACACGGGAGTGTTGTTACGGGCGGTCAACCCTCCGCATACTACAGGATTGTGATACCTGAGCCAAGCAAATATAACACATGAAAATATATACATATGTCACGTGACTGAGAATAGTTCAGACAACAATTAACATGTACAATACACATATCTACAAGGAAAGGTTTACTTCATTGTGATTTATATAAATTTGCATAATCCAATCACACTTACAATACAAAGTTATATATAAAATCATCACTCATACACACATTCTTGCATAAGAGTATTCATACATTTGTTAATTACACTATCAAATACTTTACTGAGAATGCTTACTTATGATACTTATTTATGTTATTTATTCATTAATAAACCATATAGCAATAATGTAATATAATTACTAACCTTGGAAGTAGATTATTGGTTATCTTGAATTGCTGTGCACATTAAGTACTGGTGACAAGTGCTGAGCACATCAGGTGAGGGTGACAAGTGCTGTGTGTGAAAATGGCTGATGACCTATCATTTGAAATAAGCCAATCCCAATCAACAAGGTGATCATTACAAATCACATACCTGACAGAAAGATAGAATAACCTAATTACCCTATGACCTTGTAATGGAATGATCCAAAGCAATCAGAGACCTGCATTAAGCACTTAAAACAATATTTGCCGACAACTGCTCATTGCGAACACAATGAACCTCTGTTGAACCCAAAACAACACAGGTGTATATACATTTTGATAAAAATAACGCAACACATGAAGTTAATATAAATGCTTTTATTTCACCCTATTACACTATAAACCACAAGTAACATTTAATAATATCTTGCATTGTTAATTAAGCATAAATAGAGATATTCAGGATCAAATTCAATAGTCATAGAAGAATCTAGCTTGGATATTGTTCTGTGAAAGAATATGTTTATCATGAAAAACTTAAACACAAACTGTTTGATAGGTTTGCTTGCTGCTATGTGGTAGGTTCCCATCTAAGCAGTATGCTTGGTGTTTGTAAATAATGTAAAAGGTCTGAACTAGACAAACCACAGATTGATAGAATGAACAACACCTTAGCTGCATGTTTCACTTCGTCATAGAAACAGCCTGACCACTTGATCCTAGGACCAGACAAACTACTGACACGTATTACAAGCAGCATGCCACAATGTATACAACAATAATAACACAAGCCCATTGAGAGTATTGGTACAACCACTTATTCCAATTAGGGACCTTGGACAGCTAGCAAAGGTGACTGGGGACTGATTTTGTTAGTGAGTACCATTAATTATATGGTCTCTGATGTTAGATAGGATATTCAACATGTACAATGTGTGAGGGTCAAGTTTAGTATCCCCATCATGACATGATCAGTTAACACCCTTTATGTGGTCTCTAAAATGTTTTGACTTTGAAAAGCATGTCAGCAATGGGGGTCAAAAGTCTGAAGGTGTTTTTGGTACATCATATTAGCACACCACTTTTGTTGATCCAACAAGCACGGTAAGAATCTGAAGATCTAAGGAAAATAGCCTGGGATTCGAGAGTGTGATCATAATACTCCACGACGCCTCAGAGAAGCGAAACATAGGTCCCTCATAAGTAAACATGCATGTCATTTCACAATGACTGGTCAAATATCTCCAACTGACCTACGTGTAAGCCTCATGCTTAATTAGCTTAACTAATGAAATATACTCACTTGAAACAGCTGTCAAGTCACTGCATCACTGAAGAACATCTCCAGACTACATCCATTGGTGATGCTTCATCCTGGCTGGGTGTCACTGTCAGGCTGTTTTTTTTACCAAGTTTTTGTCAAACCGGTGCAGATCACTAGATGTCAACCACTTTTGATCCACACACTTACTCGTGTATCCTTTCTGGACATGTTGTAATGTCTCTCATTCTTTGTCTCCCATAAGTATAAATAACATAGAGTATTTTGCAAGGCCATACAATGTTAAAGGTCGCGATAAGTTATATTCGATAAATGTCAATATTTTCAGCTGGAATATAGAGGGCGTTTCAAAGAAAACTTCCGCCAGGGGCAGATAACTCTCACCGTGTTTCACAACACACATCTGACTGATGTGTTAATGTGTTGTCAACGAACACACGTTTATTAGTCAGAAACAAGGGAACTTCAGGGATGGTGCGGGTTAAAAGAAGGTTGTCAAATAACGATATATTCTTGCTTCCATAGTAATTGTATTAAAAGCACTTTACTGTCGAGTAACGACTTTTTCTTACAGCAAGTTTAGTCCTGTTAATTATTTGTCCGACATAAAATAAATTCTGTGTTCAGCAGGTACCTCGTGTGTGAGGTAATGGCGGAGGATAACAATCAGCTACAGAACACCAAGGAGTATGATGTGTACCGCGCCGTTTCTAGCGCCATCAGCAGAGCCCATGGCGACTACGGCATGGGGTTCTTGAGAACATCCCTAAATGGTCAGTCAATCCATCTGCCATGGTCTGCAGAAATGTTTTAACACATACCAGGGTTAGAAAACTGTTTAAAGCACACGCAAAAGACTGCTTATGACCTTTTAAGCTACAAGCTAAATGAAATTTCAATAAGCAAAACCTTAAAGAATAATTCCAAAATCAGTAACGGTTATTTTTCACAACCATAACTAAACGTAATATGATAAGACACTACTTAAAACAGGGGAAAAGTGGTGAGGAATAAGTCCTGCACACTGGGCACCATATTTAATTTTTTTTATTTCCACTTTTTGGTTAGATTTGCATCCATTTTATAACAACAATACATACATGTGTATGTGCATATAAATGTACACAGGATTGTGGCTCATTTAAATGTCATATCTAATACATTACGCTGGATTGCTGAACAGTATATGTAGACTCGACTAAAGGTGTCATAGATGTACACAGGATTGTGATTCATGTAAATATCATATCTAAGACATTACACAGGGTTGCTAAAAGCATATGTAGAGACGACCAAAGGTGTCATAGATGTACACGGGATTGTGATTCATTTAAGTGTCACATATAAGACATTACACTGGGTTGCTGAATAGCATGTGTAGAGACGACCAAAAGGCATGAACGCTTGCTTGTTTACATTTTGAGAATGCTGTAAATTTTGTTGCTTGGTAGTATCTATATATTTCTTGATGTAAAGGTTTGAAATTTGGTTTGATTTTCCTAATAGTATATCTGTAAGGCATAAGTTGTTATAAGAATAATTGCATTCAAAGCATTATTATTCATACCCTTAAATCCAAATAATACATTCTCTTCATTGAATTCAATGTTTCCTTCACTATATTTTGCAAGCCATTCTGAAAGTTTTCTCCATATGAGTTTGGCATATTGACAGGTATATAAAACATGTACAATGGTTTCAAGTGGATCATTACATAAAGAATATGCTGGGGATTCAATGTATCCCATCTTAAATAACAAGTTATTGGTACTCAATATGATATGAATGATTTTAAACTGAAACCCTCTTCATTCACTACTTTGTGTACATCGTTTTACCATAAGATTAATATTCTTCCACTCTGTACCCTAGTACTATTTTAGCAGTGTTTTGAACTTTGTAAAAGTTGGGTCTAATATACTTAGCCTTGTTTATTGCTTATTATTGACATGTTATAAAGCAGAATGGGTCTAGAACTGGGTTCAACACAAGGATTGGTGTTGTATAAAAATTATCACACTGATTTTCTGACTCCCCCATAAGTCAGAAAGTCTGTTTTGATATTATATCTTTTTACAAAGTTTTTATGATCATATATTTTTCCATCATCATCAATCATATCTCTAAAATATGTTACACCCTTTTTATGCCATTGCTGTAGATATATAGGTTCACTCCCAATTCTAATAGCATTGTTATACCAAATAGATTTTGACATGTTCTCTTCATCACTTCTGTTTTCACCATTATCACAGCTGTACATGTATGTTGACCTTGAGGAGAGTACCTCCTTCCAAAACCTATCATGGATGTGGGGAGTAATCTTCTCTGTAATGTAATTGGAATCTGCTAAATAAAGTACATTTAAATCAATGATATATTCTGAGACCAGCTTTGTCCAGATGACATTGCTATAGATTAACCTTGTAATCCAACTCAGTTTTTTGAGCTGCTATAACAGTTTTTACATCAGGAACACTTATACCACCATATTTAGGTGGTAACTGCATAATATTTCTTGGGATTTTCTCAATTTTACCCTTCCAACATTCTCTTCCCACCGAGGTTACTTGTCATATCTTCCTACGAACCTCTGTTCTAGTACGTCCCTTTCATGGTGTGAGTGTTCAGGATTCGTGATTGGCTGCAATGAGATTTTGCGACGTTGTTTCAAAAGTGACCATTCGCAAGGCCTCAGTAATTACCGTATGCTTTGGGAAAACTAGAACCTCTTCCCCTGCGCGATGTGCAAACGTTTCGCCTAGACGGATTTCACTCATGTAATGGCGGATCAATGGAGTCTCCATTGACAATGGACAAGCTAGCCATTAAATGTTTTGTGTGTCACATCAACACAAATCCCCGGCAGAGGAGGGATATTTGTGGCCCCACATTTGCTTGTATTGGTCAAGTTGGATCTAAGTCGATGTAACACGTTTTCTGATTGGATAGAAAGAAGGAAGATAATTCGTATTGCGACTTTTTGCTGCTAGGGGATTTTATGAGAACCGGGAAATATGGCCGTATTAGACCAGATGTTTGTAGGAAGATATGACAAGCAATCTCTGTCGGAAGAGAATGCCATCCCAAATGAATTGGTAACACTTCTTTTTTAAAATCTTCCACTGTTTTTTCAGAGGGTCTAGGGATACTACTATACAAATGGTTACAATTTTTCCTTATCCTGACTCATGCTTATTGCTTGTCTTCTTCTTCTGGCGAACCTAGTGGAACACTTGTATCTCCCAATTGAAGTTCCCTTCAATAAAAAATCACTCATTAGTACTGACCACGAGTTACCTCCCTTCCACAAGCGCGGGAACGAGGGCGCCACCTGAACCCATGTGCCTCACTCTCTCCTTCTTCGCCCAGTGAGCTGGTCGTGAGAGCGCCTGTGTCTCCCAACACACTATATCCTTTTAGTTTAGTACCTCTTATACTTAGTATAGAGGTGTAACTATTATCCTTATTCAACTTGCATTGATTATTAATGGTGTTTCTGCTGTTTATTCACGGTTCGCCGTGATTGTTCAGTAGTTTACGTTAATGAGAATCTGCACAGATTGTAAACTACGTTATTCCGCTACTGATCCACATTTAAAATGCCCTAGTTGCATTACTCCATGTTCTTTTGTTTCTCGTTGTAAATTATGTATTAATTTACCAATTTCTGCCTTTGATAAATATTTATGTTCCGTTTTTAGACGGAAGGCAGATAAATCTTGCAAACAATCTTCAGTCATGGCTATTAGATCAGAAGCTAATATTCCCTGTCAATGTTGACTGACGACCCGCCACCGGCTGGTGGCATGCCTGAGTTCCCTCGGGAGAATAGCGTGGGACGCAGTCCGCTATGTCCAAGCAGCGACCTGCATCTCAAGACCTGCCGTCTTCTCAGTCTAAGACTAGGAAAACGTCCATATCATCACATACGTTTCGAACCCTAGGTCTACAGCTACGTCAAAAGGGAAATCTACAAAATCTAATAATTTTGCCTCCGATAGTTTACCTATCACAGAATTATCTTTATATGATGATGACATTCCGATTATCATTCCAGATGCTCGTCATAAGAAACGTCTTGTTTCTGCGACTGTTACCTCAGCGCAGATTAGCACACAACCGGAGATGCCGACACTATCACCAGAAATTTTATCTGAGGGTCCCGTCACCTCTGCAGAGAGACATCCCTCATCAACGCAGACCGCTTCAGACGACTTGATCAACCAGATAATGAGGGTGATGGAAGACCGCTACGGCTTACAGAGGCCTCAGAGCAACCGGCCTCAGAGCCCACCCCATATCAAGTCATACAGGGCCTCAGAGCCGGCCTTGGCTTCGCGTAGGGCCTCTGAGCCCATAGACGCACCTCCACGAAGGGCAACCCTGCCCGGAGTGAGCTCTTTGCATAAGGTATCCCAGGCCGCCTCCGTGAAGGAGCTAGAGCCTCACCTTTTGCAAGAGGCTTCGCGGAGAAGGAGCGCTTCGCCGAGCACGCACCTTGTCATGCACGAAGGGCGTTCGCGAAGCAAGCGCTCATATGTCGATACGGACACTGACTCGATACATTCGCGAAGGTCGCGAAGGCTAAGTGGCTCCAGTTCTTCATCGCCTAGAAGATCTACATCGCCTAGAAGAGCTTCGTGAAGCCCCCAGCGTTCGCGAAGCCCCCAACGTTCGGAAGATATAGTAGAGTTCGCGAAGTCCCCAGCGTTCGCGGAGGGTGTCTCCTCCAAGGTCTCCTTACACTAGCCACTCGTCAGTCCGTTCATCACAGTCCTCTCATAGATCTTCCTATAGATCTAGGACTCCGACATGTGACCCTACGTCAAAAGAGGAGGAAAGTATCATTTTCTCAGATGCTGAGATTAGATACTGGATGGTGAATGAGTTACAACGTGTTTTTTTCATCGAAGAACGAGAATTCAACTCAGACTTACGTCATGAAGAATGATGATGTAGACTATTTCACCTTACCTCCTATTGATCCGATTGCAGCGGTACCAACTAATCTGGATACAGCCTGCTCTAAATCTTCGGAAGCCCAAACGCAGATCTGCAGACAATTCTATTACGGAATTGAACAGCAACCTTGTTACAGCGAATAAAACTCATATCGTCAACGATTTCTGAGAAGAAATATGTACAACAAGTTCAGCTTTAATTCTACAATTATGACGATACATTCATGTATACAGTCTACAAGTTGACAACTTGCAAGTTTTATTAAACCTTTATATAAGGAAGTCGGAATTATCTTCAAGACTGAAGTTACTTTCACGACAGCCAGGAAAATAACCTACCCAGCATTAATATTATAGAGCGAGGTATTTCGCGCCGGAGGTTTCGCACGTTTACCATTAACCCTCGAAACACGTGGTTACTCGGGTAACTTCGGGAAGCTACGGTGAAGACCGACGATTGTTCTAATATCAACGACGGCACTATATTATACAAGGTTCCTTTTCCTGCTACACCGGTGACATCACAGCGCGGGTACTCTACAGAATCAAAATGCCTTGTTCTGATTGGACCGCGATGGACAACGCCCTACACAGAGGTCGAGCATAGTTCACAGTTCAAGACTTAGGTTGCAAGTGACAACATTATCTCAGTGAGCATCGTCAAGGACTTCGCAGCGAATTTTCCTCGACGACTGTATACAAGTGGATCCAAATCCACAGCGTCTCAGACTACAGTTGAATTTCATCATCAAGACCAAGAGATTGAATGTTTGCGCAAGCGTCTCCTTAGTAGAGCCGGAATCGAAAAC